TTTTTGTATTTTTAGTAAAGACGGTATCAACATGTTGGCCAGTCTGGTCTTGGACTCCTGGCCTCAAGCGATCCATCCACCTCGGCCTCCCAAAGTGCTGGAATTACAGGCATGAGCCACTGGCCTGGTCTTTTAAAAAATTTTTTAAGTTCAGAGGTACATGTGAAAGTTTGTTATGTAGATAAACTTGTGCCATGGGGTTTGTTGTACAGTTTATTTTGTCACCCAGGTATTAAGCCCAGTACCCATTAGTTATTTTTCCTGATCCTCTCCCTCCTCCCACCCTCCACCCTCCTATAGGCCCCAGTGTCTATTGTTCCCCTCTATGTGTCCGTGAGTTCACATCATTCAGCTTCCACTTATAAGTGAGAACGTGTGGTATTTGGTTTTCTGTTCCTGAGTTAGTTTGCGAAGAATAATGGCTTCCAGCTCCATCCATGTTCCGGCAAAGGACACGATCTTGTTCTTTTTATGACTGCATAGTATTCCATGGTGTATGTAGACCACGTTTTCTTTATCCTTATACTACTGATGGGCATTTAGGTTGATTCCATGTCTTTGCTATTGTGAATAGTGCTGCAGTGAACATGGATGTGCATGTGTCCTTATAGTAGAACTATTCCTTTGGGTATTATTTTTTTCTATTTTGCCTTTAAACAATGCAGCAATGGGCAACCTTGTACCTATACCATGTGAATTCTTTTGCCATTAAAAACTTTTTTTTTTTTGAGACAATGTCTCATTCTGTTGCCCAGGCCAGGATGCAGTAGAACAATCATGGTTTACCATAACCTTGAACTCCTAGGTTCAAATGACCCTCCTGCCTCAGCCTCCTGAGTAGCTGGAACTACAGGCACACAGCACCACATTCCACCTTTTTTTTTTTTTTTTACTTTTTTTTTTTGTAGAGAAGAGGTCTTACGTTAGCCAGCCTGGTCTCCAACCTCTAGCCTCAAGTGATCCTCATGCCTCAGCTTCCCAAGGTGCTGGGATTACAAGGAGTGAGCCACCTTGCCTGCCATTTAAAATTCTGAATATGATTCAGCATCTTTCATTTCTACTGACCACTTCTTTACTCTATATTTTTCATATATGTTGCCCATTTTTCTGCTGGCGCTTTGGTTGTCTTACTGATTTGTAAAATACCTTTTGGATATGAAGAAAATGAATCTAGTTATATTAGTCAAATTATGGCAAATAATTTTTCCATGTCTATATCATTTTTATACACTAAAGTTCTTAATTTGGATATTAAATATCTCAACTTCTAGATTTCCTGTTCTCCTCAGAAGGTCTTCATTACTCCAAAATTACAAACAAGTAATCCAGGCTTCCTTCCACAACCTTTTTTTTTTTTTGAGAGAGTCTCACTCTATCATCTAGGATGGAGTGCAGTGGTATGATCTCGGCTCACTGCAACCTCTACCTTTCTGGTTCAAGTGATTCTTCTGCCTCAGCCTCCCAAGTAGCTGGGATGATAGGTGTGTGCCACCATGCCCTGCTAATTTTTATATTTTTAGTAGAGACAAGGTTTTGCCACATTGGCCAGGCTGGTCTCAAACTCCTGGCCTCAAGTGACCTGCCAGCCTCAGCCTCCCAAAGTGCTCAGATTACAGGCCCTTCCATAATTTTTATGGTTTCATTTATCACGTACACTGTAATCTCTCTGGCATATCAGTATAAGAAGTGAGGCAAAGACAAGAGACTGCCAACATCACTGATGAACTTTGTTTCCAGTAGTCGCAGCATAATCTAAATACCCATGGGCATTCGCGTTTATTTCTGCACTCCATTCTTTTCCACAAAGAGCCTAGTACTTCTTCTCTAGTCCTAACCTGTTTTAACCTATTGCAGCATCAGAATACAGTTCATCACCTAGTAGGGCTTCCCCTCCAAAGAGAATTATTACAGTTTTTCTGGTCCTCTCACTTTTCTCAGGTAAACTTCCGTGTACTCTTTCCCAAAATCCTGTTGGTGTTCTATGGCGGAAGATGTATCCACAAAATGATGCATATATAGTAAAAATAGGCCAGGTAGCCGGGCACAGTGGCTCATGCCTGTAATCCCAGTACTTTGGGAGGCCGAGGTGGGCGGATCACTTGAAGTCAGGAGTTCAAGACCAGTCTGGCCACTATAGGGAGATAAGTACAATCATAGAAGGTATCAAGGCCATGTACAGCAGGAGGTCATTGACTAGCTGTCTGGAGGGAATGACAGACACGACATGGCAAGTCTATTTTAATTCTAAATACTGATCATCTTTTCAAAATTGAATGTTAACTTTGCAAGAACTTGGTATCTTCCTATTTATTTACAACTTTTTGCAAACCTTAAAGCATTAAGATTTTCTTCACATAGATCTTATTTCTTACATCAATGTATTTTACCTTTTTGGTTACTATTACATTTTGTTTTAAATTTTTTTTTTTTTTTTTGGAGACGGAGTCTCGCTCTGTTGCCCAGGCTGGAGTGCAGTGGCCGGATCTCAGCTCACTGCAAGCTCCGCCTCCCGGGTTTATGCCATTCTCCTGCCTCAGCCTCCCAAGTAGCTGGGATGATAGGTGTGTGCCACCATGCCCTGCTAATTTTTATATTTTTAGTAGAGACAAGGTTTTGCCACATTGGCCAGGCTGGTCTCAAACTCCTGGCCTCAAGTGACCTGCCAGCCTCAGCCTCCCAAAGTGCTGGGATTACAGGCTTGAGCCACCGCGCCCGGCCTTGTTTTAAATTTTTTAATTTTTTTCTTTTTGAGATGGGATTTCACTATGTTGCCCAGGTTGGTCTTCAACTTCTGGGCTCAAGCGATCCTGCTGCCTCAGTCTCCCAAAGAGGGATTACTGACATGAGCCACTTTGCCCTGCCTGATTATTATTATTCATAGGCTATTTATTTCCATCAATTTTCTAATTAGTTTTTGTTTGCATAAGAAAAAAACTAACAATTCTTGGGTATTAAGGTTAGAACCAGCTAACTTACTGAATTCTTACTATGTCTCAGTTTTTTGGTGAATTTGTTTCAGTTTCCACAATGTAAAAGATCACTTGCAAAAAATTTTGCCTTCTCTTTTATGTGTAATTCTTTCTTCTTATTGGACAAATACTTCCTGAACAAAGTTAAATTATAATAAAGGATTATAATAAATTATAATCATTATAATCCCCATATAATTACATATATATATAATCATAGTTCTTATATTTTTCTTGACACCTGTGGGAACTCCCTAGGGATTATCATTAGTTGGCTTTTGGTTTTAAACAGGAAGTTCTTGTCATCTCAGTGTTCATAATCCAGGTCCTAGCAGTTTTCAAGTTTACACAGGGAAACAAATCATCAAGACACAAAAACATTCACTGATCAGCTGAGTTATATAAGATTTATTTCCACTCAAGTATCCTTCCTCCCCGTTTATCATCCACCCCCACCCATCTGTAGGACTGTACTGTAAACGTGAAGTGAAAGAGGCCTTCCTACTGCTATCACATAATTTCATCTCACAAATTATGCCAAAACCCCAAGACTTCAATCTATATTCATTCTAAGAATTAGCAGAGCTGCAATTATAACTTCAGCTTCTGCCCCTAACTATTAACTATGAAATTGTGCTTCCCATTAAAAATGGATTCCAGGCCAGACGCGGTAGTTTACACCTGTAATCCCAGCACTTTGGGAGGCCGAAGCAGGCAGATCACTTGAGGTCAGAAGTTCGAGACCAGCCTGGCCAACATGGAGAAACGCTATCTGTACTAAAAATACAAAATTTAGCCAGGCATCTGTAATCTCAGCTACTCAGGAGGCTGAGGCAAGAGAACTGCCTGAACCCAGGAGGCAAGGTGCAGTGAGCCAAGATTGCACCACTGCACTCCAGTCTGGGCAACACAGCAAGGCTCCGTCTCAAAAATAAATAAATAAATAAATAAAATAAAAAAGGATTCAATTTTTCTAGTCAACTGATAAGTCAAACTGAGAGAATTTTCAAACGTGGGAAGGAAATATACATTTATTATTGTTGTACTGAAGTTCAATCACCTCCACACCTTCCCACCACCAATAACTCAAAAGTCTATCTTAAACTTTGGTCAAATGCTTTTAGGAAGCTCCTGAGATGATCATACAAACACTGGAGATAGAGCCAGTGCAATATTTAAGAGTACAGCCTCCGGAACCTACTAATTACCTGGGTTTAAATCCTAGCTCCACCACACACGTACTGTGTGACCTTTGACAAGTCACTCTATAGCTTACTCTCTTTATAAAACACGGCTGTTAACTACCTCATAGACTAGCTCAATTAACTGAGCTAATAACATGTAAAGTGCCCGGGAGAACAGTCTAGTGTACAGTAGGTACTCAACAAAGGCAAGCTAATTTATTAGTCTTTTCTGACTTATTCATTTGGTGTATTATGTTAGTGTATTTCTTGGTGATTACTCACCCTTGTAATATGTAGATAAATGCTACTTGGCTGTGGTGAAATATTCTTTTATCATACTGCTAACTTCCATTTGGTAATATTTTAAAATTTCATATTATTGTTCATAACAGATCATGTTGTCATTTTTTTTTTCTTCTTTTACAAGACAGGGCCTCCCTCTGTCACCCAGGCTGGGGTGCAGTGGTACAATCATGGCTCACTGCAGCCTCAAGCTCCCAGCCTCAAGCAATTCTCCCAGCTGGGACCACAACGTGCATCACCATGCCTGGCTAATTTTTCACTTTTTTGTAGAGACAGGGTCACTCTGTGTTGCTCAGGCTGGTCTGAAGCTCCTTGGCTCAAGCAATCCTTCTGTCTCAGCCTCCCAAGGTGTTGGGATTATGGGCATAAGCCTTAGCACTCAGATAAGTTTCCAGTTTTAATGCTATCTTCACATTAAGTGCCAGTATCAATGTTCCACTGGCTTTGTAAGAAGAGTATGTGATTCCCCGACCCCCCCATCATACTGTAGAACAATTTAAACCTTATCAAAATGATCTGTTCCTTGAAGTTTAAAAGAATTCACCTGTGACATCACCTGAGCCTGGAGTTTGGCAGGATGACAGCTTTGTGATAATGTTCCCAATTTCTTCCATTGTTATTGTTCTGTTAGGTTCTCTCTTCTCAAGTCAATTTTGATAACTGGATTTCCTTTAAAAAAAAAAAAATTCTGGTTTAATTCATATAGCCTTTTTTTTTTTTTTTGTAGAGACAGGGTCTCACTATGTTGTCCACAGTGGTCTCAAACTCTTGGGCTCAAGTGTTTCACTCGCCTTGGCCTCCCAAAGTGTTGGGATTACAGGCATGAGCCACTGCTCCCAGCCTATTTTTATTTTTAAAGACAGGGTCTTGGCCACATGTGGTGGCTCACACCCGTAATCCCACCACTTTGGGAGGCCGAGGCAGGTGGATCATGAATGAGGTCAGGAGATTGAGACCATCCTGGCTAACATGGTGAAACGACATCTCTACTAAAAATACAAAAAATTCGCCAGGCGTGGTGGCACACACCTGTAGTCCCAGCTACTTGGGAGGCTGAGGCAGGAGAATAGCTTGAACCCCGGAGGCGGAGGTTGCAGGGAGCCAAGACTGTGCCACTGCACTCCAGCCTGGGCGACAGAGCGAGACTCCATCCAAAAAGAAAAAAAGAAAAAGAAAATGACAAGGTCTTGTTCTGTCACCCAGACTGGAGTACGGTGGTACGATCATGGCTCACTGCAGCCTGGACCCTCGGGGCCTCAGTCTCCTGAGTAGCCAGGACCACAGGCGCATGCCACCATGCTTGGCTAACTTTTAAAAATAATTTTTAGTAGAGAGAAGGTCTCGCTATGTTGCCTAGGCTAGTCTTGAACTCCTGGGCTCAAGTGATCCTCCTGCCTTGGCCTCCCAAAATGCTGAGATTTACAAGCCACTGCACCCATCCAACACTTGCTGTTTTAAAAAATTATTTCTAACCTGTGTACATATGTTCCCTTCTTTCTTGAGCAGAGTTATCAGTTTATCTAATTGATAACCTTCCCACTCCTAGCAAAGAAGCAGCTTGTGAATTACCAATTTTACTATTTCTCAGTTTTGTTTTGTTTTGTTTTGTTTTTTGAGACAGAGTTTCGCTCTGTTACCTGAGCTGAAGTGCAGTGGCTACCTCACAGCTCTGTGTACTCACTGCAGCCTTGACCTCCTGGGCTCAAGCAATCCTCCCTCCTCAGCCATCTGAGCACCTGGGACCACAGGCCCACACCACCAAGCCCAGCTAATTTTTGTACGTTCTGTGGAGACAGGGTTTCGCCACGTTGCCCAGGCTGGTCTCAAACTCCTTGGGCTCACGCCATCTGCTGGCCTTGGCCTCCCAAAGAGGACTATAGGCATCAGCCACCGTGCCCACCTAGTTTAAAAAAAAATTTTTTTTTTTTTGAGACAGAGTCTCACTCTGTTGCCCAGGCTGGAGTGCAGTGGCGCAATCTCGGCTCACCGCAACCTCTGCCTCCCGGGTTCAAGCGATTCTCCAGTCTCAGCCCCTCAAGTAGCTAGGACTATGGGTGCACACCACCACGCGTCGGTAATTTTTCTATTTTGAGTAGAGACAGGGTTTCACTACACTGGTCAGGCTGGTCTCGAACCCCTGACCTCAGGTGATCCACCTGCCTCGAACTCCCAAAGTGCTGGGGTTACAGGTGTGAGCCACTGCACCCAGCGGTTTAAACATTTTTTAATTGCTTTTCCTCTTTATTATCTTTCTCCTACTTGGTCTGGGTTTATTTTCTTTTACTGTTTTTTTTGTTTGTTTGTTTGTTTGTTGAGACTGAGTCTCATTATGTCACCCAGGCTGGAGTGCAGTGGCACGATCCTGATTCACTGCAACCTCTGCCTCCCGGTTTCAAGTCATTCTCCTGCCTCAGCCTCCCAAGTAGCTGGGATTACAGGCGTGCCACTGCACTTGGCTAATTTCTGTATTTTTAGTGGTGACGGGGTTTCACTATGTTGGCCAGACTGGTCTTGAACTCCTGAGCTCAAGTGATCCAAACTCCCTTGGCTTCCCAAAGTGCTGGGATTACACGCGTGAGTCACCGTGCCCAGCTTTTTTTCTTGTAATTCTTAAGTGAGACAACTATTTCTATCCTTTGTTTCATAACTTGACTGTTTAAGGCTATGTACTTTCCTTTGAGCAAAACTTTTACTACTACTTAAGAGAGCTGGCATGTCGTCTTAACTCTACTTGCTTATAAGTGTCCCAAAATCTTCAGTTAGTCAGTTTAGTGCTGTTATTCACAGTAAAAATAGGATTAAAAGGAAAAAAAAAAGGTTCCAGAATATCATCTGTTCCCTCTCTCCTCTCCCTTTCTTAATATACGCAGTTTTGGGGCTTAATAGGATTAACTTCAAGATACGTTCTAGACACTGAAGTTTGTCCGGGTATTGAGTTTGATAATTACTAGTCTACTACATCCTTACTTTTTACTGTTTCAGCTGATAGGCATGAGTTAAAAACTCTTAGTAGTACACTTACAAGCTAAGATTAATCAATATTTGAAGTCCTAACACTTAGTCTAGAAATGCCTGATACCCATGTAATGCTTTGCACTTCTTCAGTTTCAGAATTAAACAATGTTAAATCAACAAGAATATTTAATGTACATGATTACATGATATTGTGACAATTTATGAATGTCAAAACCATTTTATTTTTACATACTGAGCACACGAAATATTTTACATTCTAAAGTCACCACCTACAAGCTGTTTACGTACGCTCCTTGACAGGACAAGCCAAGTTATTTGTGTACATGAACAACAATAAAAATCTTGTCCATGCTCACTTTTACTGGAATGTTACTTGTATTACTTTCTGAAATTTTGCAAATAAAGGTTAGTTTATTTATGACTCTGAGAATGGGTACTGTTATTAAACAAGCGGAAAATTACAGCTAACAGAAGTTAACCATTTATTGACCACCATATCAAACTATTTTAAGAACATTACTGTACATTAAGATTCTCAGATTTAAAAAATAGGTCTAGATGGGGAAAAAAAATGTTATGAAACCCTCTCGGACTTCACAGATTTAAAGCTTTTTCTCTAGTTTAATCCTACACACCAGGATAGTGTGAACAGGTTCTTAATTTAGCAATAGAAGGATAATGTGCACAGCATTATTTGGTAGTGCAGTTTAGAATTTTGCATGTTTACCTATACTGTGAACATGGTTAAATTTCTTTGCTAAATTGATCTTTATACTTTTATTCATTAATGTGGATAATTCTTTGCAATTTATTGCAAAATTTATTTACCATAACTTTACGCTTGTGTGCTACGTAAAACTATCTCATCATAAGGGAGCAGTTAATGAACTTGACTTTCAAGCAACTACAAGTGTCAAGCTCCTGTGACTAAGAAAACAGTGTAAAGTCTAAAACCTTACTGTAATGTACAGCCTACATGGATCAGCATGATCCAGATATGATCCAAATACAAAGGTCTCTGCAAAAACTGGGGAGAGGGTGACTCCAGTTCTCAAAGGATGTGAATTTCCACTAGTCAGCAGGTCTGAGTCAGCATTCAGAACAAGATCAGCCTGGGTCTAGCCCTAGTTATGACACTATCTTGCCAATACAAAGACAAAGCAATATCTGATTTTAAAATCCACTAATCTGAGTTTGCTTTCATTTACCAAACGAGAGATCAGACAAATCAACTCCTAGCTTATTTTCCCCTGAGATACGCTAAGGGTGACTCCAGTTCCAAAGCGGTAACCTGTGCTCTGAACCACTATGGGACCTCAAGAGTCCAAGCATCTTTTGATCCTACGGAATCCTTTCAAAGCACGGGCAGAGGAGGCTCAAAATGGCAAGGTCACTACACATTTCAAGGGCTTCTGTTTCACAGATTACAAGTAGAGAGAAACAGAAGGTGGGAATTAAGATCAGCTAGGTAGAGCTGTGAGGTGCAAAACAAAGGTTATGCAGAAAGTTGAGGTGCTGACATACTCCATCTAGCTAAACTGAACACCAAATAATGGATGGAGACTAACACCACCACCACCATCGTCCCCGAAAATCCTTGTACAAGTGAGCTTCCTACAACGCGATGCAACATGGTGTCGCAGAACAAGCACTGCCAGGTTATGTAGCTGAACTTACCGTTCTCCAGGCGTCCATTTCCCCAACCTGTGAAAAGCGGGGAGGGGGTTGGACAAGATCACTAAGTCCTCTTCCGTCTCTGACACTCCACAGCCAGGGGTCCCGAGGTGAGGCAGAAATCCCAGTCTCCCGGGAGGCAAGGGCCCTTGCGCGGTGCCAGCCCCGCTTTCCCCCGAGTGCAGGTAGCGCCTGGCTCCTCCCCGCCCCTGCGGTTCCTGTGCACTAGGGAGGTGACTCCCCAGCCTCGGGCGCGCCCGAATGAAGGGACAACGCCTTCGCGGGAAAGGTCGCCCAGCAGCCGGACAAACACCCGGGGCAGGCGGGGGAGCCGGGAGCCGAGGAGGCTCAGAACTGATTCAGTGCGCGCCGCCTGGGTGGGGCCCGCAGGGGCCGAGCCAGCGCAGCTGGAGCGCGCAGAAGACGGGGATGGGCCCCCAGGGCGGCAGGCTACCCCAACGGGGCCTTCGGTGCATTTCCCCTCCCTCCAACCTCTTGCTACGGGAACCCGGTGCTTCCCCACGCCCGCCCCGCACTCACCCATCGCCACCCGCGTCCCGCAGGACCGATAGCGAGCCGGCGCCCGCGCAGGCGCAGACCGTGACCGACCCAGGGGCTGCGGCGCAGAACTACGCGCCAGGCGCCGTTGCGGTCACGTGAGGGAGACGCCGCCCCGCCTCCTCTCCCTCGGCCCGCGGCCCGCCAGATGTCGCCAGCCTGCTTTTCCTGGCCGCAGGCCGCCGCGGCGGGGCAGGTAAAGGGCCACGCCAGCACACCTGCCAGGTTGCGGGCTCTGCTAGCCTCGATGCTTCACCCTTAATGCCGTACGGTGGCCTCAGCGTGCCAGAAACAGCCAACGCGCGTTCTCTAGCGCGCTGCCTGCAGGGGGCGTCTGGGCATTGTCGGTTTTAGGGGGCTAGCGCCTTCGCGGAAGACTCCAAAGTGCCCTCTGTGGAGCCTTGTTGGGTATCTTCAAACCTTCAGAGGGACCTTTTATCAGCGACCCATTCCGCAGTTCACAGAAGAACACACTTTGTGCGTGCTTTGGAACATACGAATCACTTTTAAACGTTTTAACTTTTTCCTTCGAAGCTCAGACCGCTTGCGGGGGGCTTGGAAGGAGCGCTGCCCCGGGAGTTAGAAGGCCTGGGTCAAAGTCATAGCCCTCGTACTTCTTGAGAGTGACCTTGGACGAGTCGCTGGACCCTGAGCCCCAAATCCCCGTCTGAAAAGTAACCCGTGCCTTGTGTGCGTCCCCGGGCTGTTGTAGGAGACTGTGGAAATGAGGGTTCTGACTCTGAGTTGGAAACTGGAACGCACACAACAGATGGGAGGCGTTGAAGGAAACGGAAAGGTCGGTCTGAGGGGAGAGGCGTTTCAGGAGGCTTGTGGATGTGTGAAGTGTGTGCACTGTGCTTGGGGACAGCCCAGGCAGTAACCCCACCCCAGTGAAGCGTTCTTGGGGGGATCGGCTCCGGGTGGGCGACGTTCGCCGCGTGCCCCCTTCCCCCGAGAGCACTTTGTAGACACTGACTCCAAAAGCGGGTCTGGTCTTTGCCCAGCTCCGCTTTGGCTGTCGTGCTTAGCTGCCTCTCGGGAAGCTGGAGACCAGGCTCCCCTATTCCAGCAAACGCTCCATTGAGGAACCTACTGCGTGCAAGGTCCTGGGGAGCTTAGCGTCTGATGAAGGCTACAAAAACAAAAGAGTGGAAATTCAGAAGCATGGGGGGCCTCCCCGCTCGAGGGAGATCCAGAGATGGCTTCACAGAGTAGACGTTTGAACTGGGCCTTGGAGGGTGGATGGGTGGAGTTTGGCCCAGTGGAGAAACTCATAGCAGCAGGAGATAAGACTGTAAGGGTCAGGTGGTGGGGCTGGATAGTGCGAATCTTGACTGTCAGACACAGGCACCTGCCATCTAATTAGTATGCGAGGGATAAATTTTGGACTCCACAGGATAAGGATAAAGCTACACAATGGCTTAGAACAATTAATCGGGCAACAGTTGGAAAGGGCCTTTGCCTCAAAATTATGTTTGCCCTGTCTTGTGTGAATGCCTATTCAGATGTATTATTCGAAAAATAAATAAACCAGGCAGGCATCCAGCGTGTTCATAAGCATAAATAATTAATTTCAGATTAGAATGGAGAGGTTATTCTCCTGTGGTAAAACCTGAACAAGAAGGAAAAGACTGAAACACACAATTGGGGCACACCAGACTCAGAAAATCCCAGGCTAACGGGAAAGCTCAGGTCTGGAGCTGAGCCAGTCTGCTTCTTTTATGCTGCAGGTCACAGCACAGGCCTCTGCGCCTCCAGCTCTCTGTTTCTTGTCAGAAACCCCCAGGCCCTTCATTGGCTCTTCTTGGGCATATGAATGTTGGGGATGAAAACCCTCTATTTTTGGATTCCGGATCCATCTTAAAGTTAGTCCTTCATTTCTGTCCTTATCCACCCATTGCTGCATTCCATACCTCCAGCCACTAGGTCAGCTGCCAGATATCCTCTAACCCAGCTGTGATCATGTCATCCTCCAGCTTAAAAATCTCCAGTGGTTCCCTCTTGCTTCCCCCAGTAAATCCAAACTCCTTAACTTGGTGCACGGGGCTGTCCTGTCCTGGCCCTTTTGCCAGTCTGTCTACCTCAACCCCAACTATATTCTGTGCTTTTGCCATATGCAGTCTCAGTGTTTTGCAAAACCTGTGTTCCTTAAGCCTGTTTCCCCCTTTCACCATTGATACGTGTTAGCCCTTCACCAAACAGCCCTTCAAGGTCCTTTTGCCGCCTTTGCCTCCTAGCAGCCTTCCCTGATCATCTCAGGCAAAATTGACTGTTCTTTCCCCTGCCTTCCCATGGCTCAAAGTTTGGGGCGCTTCTGATGTCCTGTCCTATGTTGTAGTCACTCATGAAAATACGATCTTTCCCACCTCCAGCTCATGAGGGCAGAGCTGTCGGGATTTTTCCTGGCTCTCCCACTCAGTGCTTGGCAAAAAGGGTGCCTAGGAGATGTTTGCTGAAATGAAATGCGGGTGGAGAGCAGAGCTGTTGGAAGGGAGGGCCTGGGTTCTTGGGGGCAAGGGCCATAGGAAGGTTGCTGGTGGATCTTTGCTTAATCACCCTCCACTCCTTCTCTCAAAATGCTTTCTAAAAAGTTGTCTGGTGCCCTCAGACTTCATGGGCTCTTAGGTGCATGAAAACAGCCTTATGCAAGCTGTCAGTGGAGTCTCAGAAACTGAGTGGCTCTGCCCAGACAAGATCACCTGAGGTCATTCCCTAACAAGGGGTCATTGACCTTCCTTTCTCTTCAGCTCACATTTCCTAGGCCTCTGCAATCAGGCCCCTGCCTATCTCTGCCACTCCCCTTCACACCCCCAGTACCAAATGGCCAAGGGCCAGTCAGCCACTTGGTGTTCCCTTCCCTGAACTTGCTGCATTATTTTCACGCCCCATGCTTGCGTATTTTTTGTCCTCTGTGCCTAAAAGGTCTTGCTTGCTTCATGACAATGTCCTGCTCCTCCTGCATGGCTCAGTTCAGAGGCTTCTGGTCACTGCTGCCCCATCTGACCTCACTGCCTCCTGCTGCAGAGCCCCTCGGTGCTGTCAGCCCCACCCTCCCTGGCCCCCACCCCAAGTCCTTGCGGTTTGTCCCCATGGCTGGTCTGTGAACGCTAGGACCTTCTCCCTTTCTGCTTCACTCATGTCCAAACCTGCTCTGATCCAGCAACTCACGTGCATCTGTATTTATAACGTACAATGGAGACCCAGGGTTTACCCTGCAAGCCTGTGAGATGGTTTGTTCTCTTCAATTTATTCATTTATTTATTTTAATACTGTTGGGGACCCAGCGAATCAGTGATTCTTAGCCCTGCTTCACATTAGAGTCATCTGGGAAGCTTTGAGAACAAAACAACACCCCCCATCCCCGCCCCACTCCTCTGCCCCAGAGGTTCTGATTTAATTGGTTTGCAGTGGGACCTGAACCTTAGTATAGTTTAAAAGCTTCCCCGGTGTGCTGAGGTTGAGAACAATAGCACTCAATACTTGCTTCCCTAATGTGCCTGAAGATAAGAATCTCTTGAATTTGGGCAAACCACCTATGGGCCCTATGCTTACAGCACCAGCATTGAGTCACCCAGAAGTTTGTTAGGAATGCAGAATTCTGTCCCCAGGAAACCAGGATTGGTATTTAACAAGTTCACCAGGTGTGCTGTGTGCACATTACAGATCGAAAAGCGTTGACCTAGATCTTAGGTCCTAGAAGTCTGGTTAAAAAATAGATCACCAGGCTGGGCATAGTGTCTCATGCCTGTAATCCCAGAACTTTGGGAGGCTGAGGCAGGAGGATCATTTGAGTTTGAGATCAGTGTGGGCAACACAGTGAGACCCTGTCTATAAACAATAACATAATTAGCCAGGCGTGGTGGCACACATCTGTAGTCCCAGCTACCTGGGAGGCTGAGGTGGGAGGATTGCTTAAGTCTGGGAGGTTGAGGCTGCAGTGAGCTGTGATCATACCACTGCACTCCAGCCTGGGAGACAGACCCTGTCTCAAAAAAACCCAACACATATATATAATCATATATACACATAGATGATACATGTATCACACACACGATACATGCATCACACATGATACATGTATCACACACACATACATGTATCATATACACATGTGATACACGTATCATACACACAATATATACACATGATATATGATACATGATATACATGTATATATAATATAGACATATATAGATATATACATATGAGATATATATATATATATATATATATAAAAAATCAGTTCCAAGACAGTCTAAATCAGAATCCCCAGGAGAGAGGCCAGTTGGCCTGTGCATATTTAACACTAGCCCCGGCTGATTCTTCTCAGGCAACTTCGGGAAATTATAGCTTTAAATTGACATCCTGACCCATAATAGTGACCTGTGGTTTGAAACACAGGGTCCTGCAGGGCTCAGGAATGTGTAAATGTATGAGCCTGCAGCCCAGAGGGGAACCAGTCCTAAGGAAAAATGATCAGCATTCTTGAGATCCGCATGTACCAAGTGCTATGAGTGTTAATAGGACAGGGAAGTTGTACCAGCTGCAATAAGGGAAGGCTACTTGGAAAAGGTGATCCGTAAAGGAAAACTAGGATTCAAACAAGGTAGGTTCCAGAAAACGCATGGGAGGAGAAAAAGTGTATAAGGAGGAAGACACCAGGTGGCTTTCTCCCTAACATCATTTCTGTACCCCAGCTTTTTCTCCCAGCACACCAACAGGCAAAGTTTATGCCCCCTGACAGATCTCAGAGCTCGGAAAGGTTGGTGACCTCTGGGTAAGATCAGGGACACCTTCCTTGTTGTCTGAGTGACACATACTTGTGAAATACAAACACATTTTTACCTACCAAGGGCCAAGTCAATGTAACAAGAAGCAGTTGCACAATACTGTGTGGGTTTCCCAAGCAGTCACACAATATGTCATTTCCTCTGATTTTCACATACTTCGTGTCCTCAAAGAAGTCCCGTGACCTATCTGAGTTACGTACCTAGTAAGAGATGAGGCTGGGACTCTGCCACGCCTATTGTTTCGGGGGATGGAGCTAGCCACAGATGCGCAGTGTGATGGTTGATGCTTTCCTCTTTCCTGGCACTTGTTCAAAGGCCCAGGTGGATGGTGAGCTGCAGGGTGGTGGGGAGCCTGGCCTTAACCCCAAGGGAGTATCTCCTGAGCTCCCTCATCATAAGACACCCCTGGGGAGTTTGTGAAAAATATCGGCTTCCAGGGCTGACCCAAGACCTCCTGAGTAAAAATCTCCAAGCAGAGGTCCTAGGAATTTGTATTTTTATAAGAACCGTGTGTAAACCTTAGGTCAGGCAAGCTGGGAAACCCTGAACTCGATGTAGTATGCTGCAAGGTCAGAATACTTGGGTTTGCATCCTTGATCCACCACTTCCTAGTGATGTCACTGGGGAGCCCCCCACCAGCCTCAATATCTCCATCTACAGGAAGAGGGTCCTTCCTGGTGACCATGTCCCAAGACCCTGAGGGAGGTTCTCCATGACGGCAGATCCAGTGTGATGGAAGCTCATTCTCCTTCAGGTATGGAGGAGCAGTGGTGTTCAAGGACTCAAAATGCCACCCTTGTCTCTTGTTCTTGGGGCAGAAGGGACCATGGAATTTCTCTCTAGATCCCATTCACCTCCAGGCGTGACCTCCCTCTGAGCCTCCACCACTAAATCCAACTTCTGTGTTTCCTAGCATCGCTTCACCTTTCTGAACCTCAGTTTCTTTGTACTTTTCTGATACTTTTTTAAACTTCTTTTATTTTTTATTTTTATTTTGTTTTATTTTTTTGAGACAGAGTCTCGCTCAGTTGCCCAGGCTGGAGTGCAGTGGCAAAATCTCTGCCCACTGCAACCTCCACCTCCTGGGTTCAAGCACTTCTCCTGCCTGAGTCTCCCAGGTAGCTGGGACTACAGGCACCTGCAACCACGCCTGGCTAATTTTTGTATTTTTAGTAGGTGGGGGGGTTTCACCACATTGGCCAGGCTGGTCTCGAACTCCTGACCTCAAGTGATCCACCCGCCTCGGCCTCCCAAAATGCTGGGATTACAGATGTGAGCCACCATGCCCGGCCCGTTTGTTTATTTTGAGACAGGGACTCCCTGTGTTGCCCAGGCTGAAGTGCAGTGGCAAGATCTCAGTTCACTGCAGTCTCCACCTCATGGGCTCAAGTGATCTTCCCACCTTAGCCTCCCAAGAGGCTGGGACTACAGGTGTGCAGTACGACACCTGGCTAATATTTGTATTTTTTTTGTAGAGATGGGTTTTCTCCATGTTGCCCAGGCTGGTCTTGAACTCCTGAACTCAAGTGCTCCTCCCTCCTTGGCCTCCTAAAGTACTTGGATTACAGACACGAGCCACCATACCAGGCCTGAACTTCAGTTTCTCATCTGCATAGCAGGGCTCCCATTGTGGGAGACCAATGCAAGCACAATGTGAGGCACACATAGAGTAAACCCGCCACAGATAGGATCTTTTATCACTGTTACTTCAGCTAACAAATACTTATTGAGCACCTACTGTATGCCAGAAACTGT